GTCTATAGCCTAGGACCGAATCTAGACCTAAAATTGGCAAAAGGGAAGGACAGAAACGACCTACAACTCAAGGGCAGAAAGGACAAAGCAAAGAGACCTAGTGGCATTACAGCTAGCCTACAGAGACCAACTCCCCCCTCCCCTCAGCCACCAAACCCCCCCACCCTCGGTCGGACCCCCTCCACAACCTACCCAACCCCCCCAAAAACACCCCGCCCCCCCAAAGTTTTTTTTTTTTTTTGTGCGACCACCCCCTCGTATTCCCCTCCACACACACAGCCCCGCCAGGCGTGTGCGCCCATTTTTTGGCATGTGCGCGCCCCCGAAACGGATTTGAGCGCTTTTGAGCGCGCGCTGGGGGCTGAGCACGCACTTAAGCTCCAAACAGACCCTGGGATCAATCCCAGTTGCGCTCTCACACACACACAAAAAAAAAAAAACAACAGCAAACAAAACAGGTCACGAGATCGAATCCCGGAGAGCTCAAAACCAAGCAACATCCAACGAAGTTAGTGTACAGCCCGCATGCCACTGCAATTCATTGCACAGGTACCATGTCCAGGGCCGCAAGCTAGCGCTATCCTTGCACATCAGCTGGATTTGCAGTCATGATATTCCGGAGGATATAATCAGTATGTGCAACACTCGGTTCATGTCCGGTTTTTGAATCACTCTCATAATGAAGCACTCCAGATTGGAGATGAAACTGAGCTCCTCCCAGCACCCGCACATGGATGGCCAGAACAAAGAGAGCACACCAGACTGCACAGATGATGCTCCACACTCTTATCCGTCCGGACCAAAAGTATTGTGTTGAGTGCTTTCCTGGCATCGAGTTCACCTACAATACATCACTTACCGGACCATTGGCCTGACCGCGTTTGGGGTGCTCATGAAGATAGGAAAGGACGACTTTTCGTGGACTCTCTTCTTGCGTCCAATACCAATACACCCCCGCCTCCATAAGAACTGCTTGCAAAAGACCGGGCCAAAATGCGGAAAGAAAAAAGATGCATGCAGCAGCAGGCTAACCGAGGTCAATTGCCTTGCCCATTCCACAAGTAATACCTAGTTTGGGTTTCCACTCAGTTCAACCTGGAGAAAAACATCTCAAGGAGACTTCTCCCCAAGTGTTTCAGACCTCAGCGCATCCTATCTGCAGGAAGCGATCAGCCCGACAGACCATTGTTCATCATCGACACCCGTCCCACCTACGCATAAACGGTCTTCAACACGTCTGAACACGCCTCTTATGTTTCGGCTGAGAGCGACAACTTTCCCGACCGGAGTTCATAAAACCCTCCTTCCATGAATGGCCTTCAGGAGGTGGAGCGAATCAGTCTGTATCGCCACTACGGCAACACGTCAATGCAGCACAAGATGTGCCCTTCAAAGAGTGCAATGCCAAGGACACACTTGCAGGCTACCGCACCGAACATCCTTGATGATAATGAGCGACGAGGCAAGGGGGTGGCAATTCGCTCGCCACTTTCCATATAGGAAAGCGTCGAGCTCCGGGTTGGACATTAAAGCACTTGGTAGAGCGGGCGGCAGGGCTGCTGGAGCTAACGCTCGCGTGCTGCTGCTAGCGCCAGTGCAGAAGCGCGTGCGTGCGGTCATGCGAGCAGGGCACTGCTGTTGGCAGCGCCATAGCCCAGCCCACGTAGCCAGGCTTGGGCTTGGACAACCAGCGAGAGGTGGTGGTGGTCTTCGTGTATGAGGGAGAGGACGTGGGTGATAAAGTCAAGCGCGAGAGAGAGCGAGAGATGAGGTTGATGATGTGAGGGCACGTACCTGGTCTTGGCGATCGTCTACAAGGTCGACATCTTCATGTACTTCGGTTGTAGCTGCTGACGTCAACAGGATGCCTTGTCAATTTGTAGGCTGCATGTAGCTGTGTCATTATAGTCTGGGCGCTGAGCGCCAAGTAGGAGGAAGGACTCTGGATACATATGTTGGTGGTGGCAAGAGTATGCTCTCATTGATATTTGGATTCAGTGCTTTGGTTCTCCGTTGGTGGAATATCAGTGCATTTCTGCTTTCTGTACAGCGTTGGACTTGCTGGCTTTCAATGTGATTTTGGACTCTGGATTTCCGTCATTTCGATGTCGCTCATTTTTCTTGCACAATGGTGCCTCCGTCACATGTGTGATTGAAACTGTTTGACAGTTATATCCACTGCCTAGAGGAACTGCGCCCCTCGGGCGTAGACATGCTCCCTCTCGTTTTCTTTTGACTATTTTTAAAAAACTATTTTGGTTTCAAATTTCAAAAATTATTTTGGTTTCAAGTTTCAATTTTTTCAAGCTAGGCTGCCAGCAGGGCCGCCCGGGTCACCCTGTTTTCCTGGGCGGCCCAGCCGTGCAAGGACCAGGGAAGGTCCCAGCAAAAAAAAACAAAAAAAACCCAAAAAAAGTTCAAAAAACACTGTTATGCAGAAAAATAAACTGAACAACATTTGCCTCAGTGTGAGGCATAAGGCCTCGCTACGCCTTACTGGGCCCTATTTTCAGCACAGTCGGCCGCCCTAAGTGAAGGCAGGCTCGACCGAGGTCTACAGGCCATTTTTTGGGGGGTCACTATGCAACTGGGGAAATTCAGGCAGTTACGCAGCGCCAGCTGGTTGGAAGCGCCCAGGCCCAGGCTGCCTTTCATCATATGTAACTGAGACAGGCCCTGGGCCGGATACACAACATGGACAGAACAAAGGCTGAGGGCTGTTGGGCGCTAGCAACCACCACTGGCCCTGGGCCTGTTTCCTCTGGACTGAGGCTCAGCCCCGTGGGGCCTACCGGAAGCTTCTGGGCCGGGGCCCAGTACCGCATTACGGCACGTAGCAGGCACTTCGATAAAGGGAAGGGCCTGCCCACGCATTGGACATTCGGGCACTGGCTGCATGCTGCGCAAGCGCTGCTGCGCTAACGCTGGCCAGCACTCACGCACTCACGGGCGAGCTGGAAGGAGGAGGCAGCCACAGCCGAGCTGCGCTGCTGTATGCTGGATGGGGCGCATGGTGGTCTTTGGGTGCATGTGGCATCTGTGAGTTAGGGGATCGAGGTTGTGAGTGATACGAGAGACATACCTGGTGCTTGAGGCGAACGACATTGGCCAAGATCTGCTCGTACTTCGGGGAGCTGTTGACGTCATCAGCGGCATTGTAGATAGGCTAGATAGGATCTGCCATCTGTAGTCCTGTCTCTTATACACATCTAGATGTGTATAAGAGACAGGTGCAGGCAGCCATAGCCGAGCTGGACTGCATAGCTGGATAGGGCGCATGGTGGTCCTTAGCTCCCCGAAGTACGAGCAGATCTCGGCCAATGTCGTTTGCCTCAAGCACCAGGTATGTCTCTCGTATCACTCACAACCTCGATCCCCTAACTCACAGATGCCACATGCACCCAAAGAGGATATCGACATTGGTTCTTCGTTGATGATGATGAGACTATTCCAGCATTGTCAATTATGAGTTTTTGCTGTGCTCTTATTTGGTGGAATTCTGCTATTGGTTCGAGGTCACGACTATCTGGTCTCATGTGTATGATGCTGTTTGATTTCTGAAGTTCGCTATCGCTCATTTTCCTTGCATTAGGGTCACATCAAAATTCTTTACCAAATTTAAATTCTAAAATAAAAATAATATATTTTTAATTTTTTTTTATTTTATTTTTTTTGGCCCGGCCGGGCAAGTGGTCCCAGGCCACTCTGGTAGCCTAGTTTTCAAGCCACTCAATTGCAGTAACCCTGTTCAGAAGTAGCCTGGGGCCCAGAACTCAGCCCCAGGCCACGCAGACCTGAGTCGGTCTGCACTGGGCTGTGTGACCAAGACACGCCCAGGCCTGAGTCTGCTGTGTTTGGCTGTGTGACCAAACGCTGCACACTGGAAATTCAAGGGTCAAAGTCAACTGTAGAGTCAAAGGTACCGCGCCCAGGCCCTTGGTTGGATACACTCACTTGTTGGCCGCAGGTACCCAGGCAGCATCCAGGCCGGAGGGAATTCGGTTTCAGACCAATCTGGGCCCTTGTTTGCATTGAGATCTGGACGGCTGAGGGATGCAGCATTCGGGGTCCAGACCCCGCGTCAACGCTACATAAGCGCTGACTTCCTGGCTTTGACATTCATTCTGTCTTGTGTCAATGCTGACTTCACACGTTGACGACGCGACGCTGGCTCGACGCTGCGACGCTGGTGGACGCTGGCTTTGTGCGCGACGCTGGTGGACGCTGGCTTTGTGCTGGCATTTGGGAGATTGTGGCGACGCGCTGCTAGCTCGGTGGCCGGCTGGCTATTGTCTTCAAGGCATGCTGACGTGGCAGCTGCTACGCGTTGCTGCTGACGTGGCTGCTGCCACGTGTTCTATGGCTGGGACTATGTGACCGGAACCGCTGTTCTGATTCATCGTCACTCAGGAGGAGATCGGGACTGTGGAGAGATCGTGGATACGTACCTGGTTGTCTTCATGTGGACATGGGTCCAGCGCTGATGAGGGACTGATTAGACGTGCCACGTGGCACATTGAGGTTACTTCAGATACTCGTTCAGACTATTGGTTATTAAGGTGGTGATCGAGGAGGGAGCTCGAAGCAGGAGTGGGCCTTGTATTTATTTCCTCTCCTTTGTCTAATCTCCCTCCTCTGTCTTTCGTCTGTGTATGATTATCTCGTCTCATTCTGTCTGGACACTATTTTGACTATTGGTAATCATCAGCTGGTTGACATTCATCTGGGCTTGCATTGTTGACGACTGTCTTCACGATCTGGGTTCATTGCACAATCTTTGCTGGGTGGTATAGCAATCAAACTCCACGCATGCCTTTATTTAAAAGGCAAACTACTCAAACTCTCCATAGTTGCAAAACATTGGTCATCACAGCCATGTGGGCTAGAAAGAAGTGTGTTCAGTTCCTTCTGCAGTAGCTTTAAGGGTGAGTTTACCGAAAAGAAAAAGTTTTGCATTGCATGAAAATTAATCTATTCTTGGAGCATGTATGCAAGCATACCCGATCCGCTATGAGTTTATTTCGTGCTTCGGCTGAGTCAATCTGGTTGCGACGACGTTCCAAGTCTGCATTTGCTGCCTCTTGCATGGAGATCAGTGCCTTCTCTCTTTCCTTTTGCTCCCGCATGCCTTTCTCCAGCGCTTCTTTTACGTCATTGGCATCCCTCTGCAACCACCAGACACACTTTGTCCTTAGCATTTATTTATTTTTTTGTGTGTGTCATCCTTGCACAGGGGCCATGCTAATCTTCTCTGTATCGTTCCAATTTTACCAGATGTCCCGAGGGACACACTTTGTCCTTGGCTAACTATCGTCCTTTCTTTTTCTTTTTTTTCGCTTTTTTCCCCTTCAACAAACACACACTCATACACCAGCTACAGAGAGAGAGAAAGAAAAAAAGAACAGATTCAACAGAATGAATGAGGTGATTGACAACTAAGACAGAAAACAGAGAAAAAGAATAAGGCAGAATTTAACTGTGTGCAACCCGGTTGACACTCTGTCGAGCTCTATGTGATCGAATTGTTTACGCTCATTGCATACATGTGTGTAGCATTGTGTAACATTCAGCCACATGGGCTGGGTAAGTCCCTCGTCTCGTTTTTTACTATAACTATTGCATGGGAACTGCCAGATGGCACCATGTCAACATCATCACATTGACGTGACACCGTCATCAAATTTGACGTCACATAGCGGACAGAACATGCACCTAAAACCAATCAACTAAAACGATTTGAACTTTCAGGAGATCTGCATCCTTATTCCCCCCCTCCCTCCCTTTTCAAGAGGTCTCCATGAGTCAATCTTGGTCACTGAGTCATCAGTGAATCGGTTACTTCTTTTTTATTATCATTAAAGGGGTAATCGTAAACCCCTAACATTTTATGGTATCCACCGAATTCCACCGAGGCCCGAACTCATGATATGTTTATTAATGTTTTCTGTGTGCACCATTCTGCCACCTGGGCTGGTCGTAAACTGGGGACTTTTTGCATAACAGAGAATTTTATTGTGCGCCTAACGAGGTGAACCCCACCGTATCAACACAAAACATACTGTGAAACGATATCTTTCACTGGGCAGTGTGTAATGCTCTGCCCTCTCTAAGAAGAATGCCAGGCTACCCATGTTCCCTTCTCTGTGTAGGATGTACTGCTCTCTTGCCTTCCTAAGACAAATGGCACCCTGGCAATATGTGCTTCACACATGGTATACGCTGATCGTTCCTTAGTAAGAAGAATTGGTGGGCTGGCCAAGTCAACCAGCCATCTGTCATTGGGAACCAATGACAAACTGCCATTGAATATCTCGCTCTCAGCAGTGGGGACAAAGAAGCCTTTCCTCCCTGTTAGGAGTCAATGCGTGTTGTTACGTTTCTGTGGGACGAGTGCTCTGCACACTCCACTCCTCTGGGTTTTGGTTCACAAAGGACCAGTGGCCATCGCTGTCCCAGCCTTAACATGGAGAGGTGAGTGTATGCGGTTTTCTACTCAAAGTTTTCAAATATAAGACTCGGGCACTGGGTCCATTTAGCCTGATTTAGGGGGAAAAAAAAGAAAAAAGTTGACACCTGCCCCGCCCTTGCCGCAGTGCTGGTGTGAAGGCTGGGCACGCAGGGGTTGATCGTGTCATTGGTCCTTCACTGTGTGTGGCTGCATGTTCGAAGTCATGATTGGTTATAACAATCACAAATGGCAGTGCACAGATTTTAAAAACAGTTCCTTGGTATGTGTAAAGTCGACTACTTTTCGCTTTCACAGGTATCCCTAACCGAGCAAGGTGACGAGCCCTCCAATCAGCCAAATGCATTCAGGGCAGACTGTCCATATCCAACCTCCTGATGAGTCTGTGAAAGTGCGACAAAAACAATCTGGCACGGTCATGGTCTTTTTGTGGAGTTGTGTTTACCAAATATAACACACACACTCCCCCCCCTTCCCCCCCCTCCTCGATCTCTCACTACTTGATTGAAGTTTCACGATATTTCTCTCTTTGTGAGCCTACAGAGGGGCAGGGGAGGGGCAAAGATACCTGGTTGGTAGCACAAGGGAGGGTGCTGCGGGGGGACAAGGCAAGGATCACGTTTTTCTTTCTGTCTTATTAGGTGAGTCCAACCCTCTTTCTCCACATTGAACGATCCTTCTAGTGGTCTATTAGGGGTGGACATCTGCCTGTCGATTCTACATGCAGCAGGATCCTGACTCCTGAAATGGCGATGCAGAAAGCCAGAGAAAGCGCAGTCCTGTGTCTGTCATCGGGGTTTGACATGATGAGCTGCTAATCAATCACTACATGTGCCCACTATTCAGGACTACTACCTGTTTATCAACAGGCACATTTGCGCACCTGTTTATTAACAATGACATGGATTTGAACCCAATATCAATAGCTACATTGTGTACGGGTCAGGATTAGACATGTCTGCACGGTCGGGATTTGAACTCATGACTTGTTTATAGATGCATGTACCTTGCAACATTTAACTTGCAAGCTAATCAACATGTCATGCGTATGCCCGCAGGACTTGAGCTCATGATCTGATTTTCAGGAGCAATGGCTGCTCTCTCTCTCTCTCTCTCTCTCTCTCTCTCTCTCTCTCTCTCTCTCTCTCTCTCTCTCTCTCTCTCTCAGTGCCACCCCTTGGACAGCATGGATGGTCGGCAGCACCTCACAGAGACCGCAGTATGCACGGTAAAAACGATGATGGGAAACACCAAGGCGAAGCAGTAAGCTACCCGCACAATAAACACGAACGCAGCAGCTACACGAGCGGGAAATAATCTTTCTTTTGGCGCCACGTGGCGGGGTTTGTTTTTGCACCAAGCAGCGGAGTGAAGTGCACAATAGGACCTGTCCCAGTTTCCCTGCCCTCCCACATTCCCCGCTGGGACCAGTTGGTTGCCTTACAATTGGCTCACTTTTCCTTTACCATAGAGAGTTGAAGTTGATGACAGTTCTCACATAAATACAAGATCAAAATGATGAAAAACAAACAAACAACGAAAATGATCCAGAGGGACCAACTATTGGATGCATAGAAAGATTATTGACCAACGGCCCTAGCGCAGTTCGTACACCCATGAACTCTTGAAATACAGACCTCTGTTCCAATCCCAATCAAGCAAAATAACTCTGATTTACCTGGCTCCGATCAGATGATATCTCAAGGCCATCACCCTTGGAAATTTCGAACAAGAAAAAATTAAAAACAAGCAGAAGATTATGGGATAAACAATGCCAGAAACGCAGGACGATTTGGTACAACCGCCAAATTTAAGAACAAAAAAACAGCAGAACATTGTCGAAGTCTTCAAGATTAAAAAAAACTTTAAAAAAAGTGCGGGGGGGAATCATTAAGATCAGGCCTTCAACCGCTACAATGCCCAGAATTTCAGCGAGAGAATAAAACCCCACAGAAAAAGGGGAGCAAATTTCCTGGCAGTTTTTTTTTTTTTTTTTTTGGCAGTTTCTGAAGCATTCACAGATGGCTTTCGACAAGAGTAACACCAGAGCAACCGGGTTTCATTGGGCAGGTGTTTTTTCCCCCCCTCCTTCTGGAGGATGCAAGCTTATGAAACATAGCGAAGGAAATGGAAATTCAGAATGCACTTCAATGCACACCATTTGGGACCATAGTGTACTTCGCTCTCTCGTCAACGCATTCAATTCCAGTCCGAGAGCTTCGACCTGCATATCACGTAAATGACATTGGCAACAAGGTCCATCAAGCTCAAAGATGAAAAGAGATCTGCATATGCCTTACATGCTTAAAAAACACAACATCCTGGACCCTTCTTCGTTTGAGGGAGGCTCAACAACTTTCAGGAAAGATGCAACAGTCCTTCGTTCATGGATATGGGGGACTCTTCGTCAAAAGAGTCCTTTTTCTTTTTCCTGTGAACAACTCAAATATCTCCTCTCTCTCTCTCTCTCTCTCTCTCTCTCTCTCTCTCTCTCTCTCTCTCTCTCTCTCTCTCTCTCTCTCTCTCTCTCTCTCTCTCT